AAAGATATGTATATTTTAGATATAAAACTTTATATAAAAATATATATATTAAATCTTTCTTACTTTTGCTAAATTTTTAATATAATTGAAAATTTAGCAAAAGCAAGGAAATTTTAATGTACTTCAATACAGTAACAAAAAACATCATTTTCTCAGTCTTTTGACTTTGAAAGAAAGCACTATCTATTTTTTAAAAACATATTTAAAAAATTGAAGTTTTGACCATTTTCAAGTATATTCTTCTCCTTAAATCAGTTTCCATCATTAAATTTTCCATCATTAAATTCCTTCATTAAATTTTTTTTCTTTTCACCAGTTGATGAACAGAAATATCGATGTCGTGGAGAAGAAACTGAATGCTCAAAGCTCGGGTGGTAGCATAATATTGAAGTGCAAGGATTTTCAAATTCTTCAGTTAGATATTGGTTCTACTAACGATTTAATCAACGCCATACTATCTATAGAGAAGCTGATATCACTTGGTAATTTATTATATAACTTGCAATATTGCTCAGTGAGATATAATTACCTCTTACTCTGCAGACCAAACTCTACAATATCCATTCTTCTATCGACCACAAACAACTAACAACATCATGGTACAAATAGAAGATGGATGGACAGCGTTTGCACCTGTCTCCGAATGGTCTAGGTTGTTGGCAGCTCACGGAGATGAGTGGCGTATTAGTTATCTGAACAGAGACTACAAAGTTTGTATATCGTATCCGTCGGCAGTTATAGTACCGCGTCAAGTAGACGACAAAGTTGTAATAGCTTCAGCTGGCTTTAGAGATGGTGGAAGATTCCCAGTTTTATGTTACAGACACGAAGGAGGGGTAAGTAATATATTATTAGATCTGTATTTGTATAGCTGTGTGAACTAATAGTGTATATTTTCGAAACTTTAAGTGAAATATACATATATTGTATATGACGAAAGTGAGAAAGAAAGTTTTGCAGTCTGTGTAAAAATAAAAAATAGATTTATTACTTTAAATTATAAAGTAACATCCACTCAACTTTTCTTTTTTATTGCAGAGTATATTGTTGAGAAGCAGTCAACCGTTATGCGGTGCTACCGGTAAGAGATGCAAAGAAGATGAAAAACTATTAAATGCAGTTCTAGGTCCCGGAAGACGAGGGTAAATATTGATCTTAAATCGTAAATATTCATTTTTTGTATTCCCTGGTGAAAATTTTTCTTATAATTTTTATATGAATTGGAAATATTCGGAAATATTCAGAAATATTTGGAAAGTTTATATCTTCTTTCAGAATTTTTCATATAAGTGAATTCTGAAATATTCTGAGATTTTTCATTCCATAATTTTAACATTCCAAAATTTTAAACATTAAAAAAAAATATTTTTAAATATTTTAGATTTTATAATATTTCATCAGAAATTATATTTATAAAAAATCTTAGAAATCTTACGATATTTTAATTATGAAAAATTTTGAGAAAAAAATATATAGATTTTTTAAAAAGTGTTCCAATTCGTATAAAAAAATGTGAAAAAGTTATAAAATTATATAGAAATTCTAAGACAAATTTTCATCAGGGTTTACAGTCATTGAATTTTATTTATAGATACATAGTGGACACAAGATCGGTTAATCAGGCACAGAGTGCCAGAGCCAGAGGTGGAGGCACAGAAATGGACGCGGCTTACCCGCAATGGCGAAAAGTACATAAACCAGTTCCTCGACCACACGAATTAGCCGATAGTTTCTACAAATTAATAGAAACTTGCAACGATGTTAACAGTTCCACTTCGCAGTGGCTGTCGAAATTGGATAATAGCGGATGGTTAACCGCTGTACAGAGTGCTTTAAATGCTGCTTGTGTAACCGCGCAATGCCTGCATCAAGAAGCTGCGGCAGTGCTAGTGCACGGTGTGTATATCAAATATTAATAATTAATAATAATATTTAATAAATAATGTTGCGAAAGTTGCGTTCATCTACTCTTTCCTTCAGAATATTAATCGTGTAATATTAATAATGTAATTTTGATTTATAGGCAGCACAGGCAGGGACTCTACATTAGTGGTAACCAGTTTGGCTCAGGCAATCCTAAATCCTGATTGTCGAACAGTACGAGGACTTCAAGCACTCATAGAGCGTGAGTGGCTACAAGCCGGCCATCAATTTTTCAGTCGGACCCGTTGTGGAGCCTATCAGCCTTCAAGCTCGCAAAATCCGACACACGCGCCAACTTTTTTGCTTTTCCTCGATTGCCTATATCAACTGCATCATCAATTTCAATTTAGCTTCGAGTACACCGTGGATTTACTTGTAAAATTGTACAAGCATGCCTATTCTTCGAACTATGGTACATTTTTAGGTATGTATGTGAAATATTAATTTATTTTTTTATTAATCCTATATCATTTATACATTTGTTAAGATTTTCATTTCTTCATTATTGCTACTTATTCATCGTAATATGTATTTTTCATGTATTCAGGTGATTCTGAAGCGGAAAGAATAAAATTACGATTATCTGAACGGACTTATAGTTTATGGTCGTACATGAATCAACCGGACGTTTTGGAACAGTGGATAAATCCATTGTACGAGCCTAATCCAGGAGTGATTTGGCCCAGCGTTGCACCTATCAGTATTCAACTATGGAGAGAACTGTATCTCGCGCATACGAGTACAGCCCCGTGGGATGGCATGCTCTCCTATGTGAAGCAGATCAAGCAGAATCACACAGCGGTGCGCAAAGTAGCCGGACAGCTACAGGCGCAGATCAAGCAAGCATTGGAAGAGATTCGATCGGATTCAGATATGTCACGGGGAGATACGGATAATCAAGAGGATCATCCCCGTATAGCGCAATTGAGCCTAGAGTCTCAGAGTACTTGATACAGATTGTAGAGACCGAAGAAAACCTGAAGAAATTCATACTGCTGTTCAACGATCTTGTCAATATGCCTTTAACTGTTAATCCGCAAGGATCAACGTCTTCACGATAAACCTGCCACGAAAGCTAAAGCCTTCGTAATAAATTATTGACGCAATTCTTTCGATTTCTTATCAGAATGAAGAAAAAGGTGTTTATTAGCTTAAGAATAATCTGCGTATTATCGTGTTAATATTATCGTGTTGTCAATATAGATTTGGATATTGTATCATAAAAAATATTTCTCTCACGTTATTTCAATCATAGAAGTCACGCGATTTTCGCCTATATAAAACTCGCATTACCGAAAGGTGTCAAGTACTAAGTATTTAAACAATTTAAACAAGATGAGATAAATTGTGATATTTTTTATTTTATGACAAACATATGGTACCATGAAAAAGTTAACGATATTACATAATATATACATATATATTATATAAAAAATTCTATCAAATATATATATATATATATATGTGTGTGTGTGTGTGTGTGTGTGTATAATATTATACATATAATATATGTATAATATTATACTTTATTTAACCAAAGGTAAAGTAATATAAACAAATGAAAATGGAATGTGTATTGTAAACATATTATTAAAGGGCGTAATTGCGAGGGTAGGACTTCGAAATTTTTCATTGGAGCATACAGAGAGAAGGAAATCTCGCTTGTTCGGGGGTACGGACGAGTTTTTACCGTTATTCGGGAAGGATGGCGGGAGGGCGGTGAACGAGAGAAGGGAAGAAGGGGGGGAAGTTAAGGGCAGGATTGTTGCCGCTGCCGTGGTAAAAGAGGGAGAAGACTGGAGGGGAAAGCGCGGCAGGTGTTCACACACAAAGAAACTGAAAGCGAATCCCACGGCCATTGGCTCCGCCACTCAGGAATGCATCGAGTTTCGTCAGCGTTCGCGTTTCGCGATCGAATATAACACACGTGGACGCATCTTAATATAATCGCGGGACAAGAATAGAAGAGAAGAGCGTCTGTACGACGCGTTAAGTTGCAAAGCTTTGGGATAGACAAAGGACAGGTCGGTGTCGAGAGGCGACTGGAATGCACGGAACTTTAAATTAAATTAAAACAAATAAATACAACCGACATTGCGATTTTAATCTAACAATAAGTAATCTAAAACGAGTCATTTTGCTTTCTCTGTTAATGCTCCTTGAAGGCAGGATCGCACCTTTAAGCTTTCTATTCTAACAGAGAATTCGCGCGGACTTCGAGTGGCAGACGAGGGCGAGAAGTTTCAAGAGCGAGAGAAACCAGTATAATTTCCGTCGAGTTTGCGTTTCCAATGCTTTACCCTCGCGATTTTCTGTTCATCACGAACGGATGGGGAAGATCGTTTTGAAGCGAGGATGACTTCTATCGCGTGAGAGATCCAGAACTCAATAAAAGGGTCTTCGCGCTTTAGGATGCGCGTGTATGTATTCGTCGGAGTATCCCGAGGACTAAGACGTCTTCCGATTTTCGACGCGTTCATGACGCCATTAGGCATCGTGTCTTGGCGGCGATCGCGCGCGGACAGATTATTATACCGGTTTCGAATCTGCGCGATGGAAGAGGATCCGTGAGAAATCGCAACCTCACACCTGCGACCGTTACCTCATGATGCCACTGCGAAGCCTTTCTCTGTTTCTTTCTCTCTCTTTCTATCCTTCATTTACCTCGCGATATCATTTTTCCCAGAAGCCTCGGGAGAAGAGAAGAACAGGTGTGTTGGTCCACGCGCGCGCGCGCGCTCTCCTCGCCTCAGCACAGGTCCAGTATCCTTGGATGAGTGTGGATCTAGTCACGCATATAATCGTGAAACGTGGACTGAATTCAAACCCATCCAGGGCCGCTGGACGGGCGTATCGGACGATCCCACGTTGCTCAATTTTCTTCTTCGTGCGGAAGATGCTCTCTTCTCGGGAACCGATCCTCGCGGAAATTTCCTCGTCCTCGTCCGTTGAAAGAGACACCAAACGTCGTCGACGGAGCCGGAAAGCAGAGTGATGCGTCCGACGGGAATGGCATTAGCGGCCTCACTCGTAGTAGGGGCATTCTTGGAGAAGGGGCCCCGTAAGTCCGTCCGTATTCCGCCATTCTCTCTCTCTTCTTCCCTCACCCCCGTTTGCTTCATCGCCAGTCTCTCTTCGTTCCGTGCTCTCGATTATCTTTCCTTTCCTTTCTATCTCTTACTCTCGCAGGCAGGCAGTTACCGTCCATGAGGCCCTTAAGGAGGGGCAAGAGAAGGGACGCTTTTTCCCAAGGCGTCCGGGAGAATCACAACAAAGAAAGATGCGATTTTCGAAGGGAAGAGCGGAGAACGAAGCGAAGAGACGTTTCTGGACAGCAGCCTGAGAGCGGTAGTAAAATATTTCTCTCTTTCTCTCTCTTGCTGTTAGAGAGGAGACATATATATATATACCGGAAGGCGATGCCGTGTTCTTGAGTAAATCGCGTTCGCTCGCTTCCGCGAATCAGCGAGATGAATACTGGATTCTTCTTTTATCAGCTCGCAAAAAAAAGTGGCGTCCCTATGTAGATGTCATATTACGGCCGCTGCAATAAAGCACCGGATTTCTATCTACGGTCGTATTTCGAATTTTGATTTTGAAAAATTAAGCACCACTGCTTGAAAATCAAGAAACTAAGATGATTAAGAATGTCCTCTTTTTATGAAATAAATAAATAATTTTAATCCAAAGAATTTTCATTATACGTTGGTTTTATATGCACTTGAAAATCATTAGAAATATCATGTTTGTTATTTTGATTTAATTTGTAACAAAAGTCTGAAATGTTTAACATTGAAGGAATAAGAAATTTTTTTAAAGTTGATACAAACATTGTAATTGATAAAGATACAAGATCACACGTTTCTTTGAGAAAGAATTTATTTTTTTCTATCTTTTCCTACAATTTAAAAATAAAAGAGAAAAAAACGTTAATTACTTTATAATATTTGAAATTTAGTTTTAAAAAAGTGGACTTTGTTTTGATAAAGAGAATTTGTGTTTCAGAAAAGTCCAGAATTGTGGAGTTTCCAGAATTCTCTCTAGAAAAGACAATGGAATTCGAAAATAGTCTGACGTCTTTTGTTCGCTCTAAGACCCTTTGTGGCAATTCTTGTACAACGTATATGTTATTGTACTTTGGATATTTGCGATATCACGCATTGTCAGTGAACTCTCAGAACACCGATTGTGTTGCGCAACAGCAAGCGTGTGCGTGACCTTGAACTTCATCTTTCTTTTATCTTTCTCCCACAGTATCTTGAGAGAAAAGCTAGCCGTACCGTAGCGGTGGTTCATCTTCAAGCGGCGTCATTTCATCAAATCGCATCAAAATAACAGTTTCATCCTTTCTTCAGATTGAAATTCAGATGATAGTACTCCGTTTTAATTTTTTTTAGTTGAATTTTTAATGTTGAAGACGCGAAATAATGTTCCTTCCTTTCAACTTGTTTTCTGCGCTTCGTTTATTTCCTGTTAACACAAATGTACATCCGAGGGACACGTATTTTTCGTGCGTTCTTCTTTTTTTTTTTAGGATGCACTCTTTGATGCTCTTTTGATCTCGAACGTGTTATTTTCTTACCGCAAACTTCTCCGTGGTAAACACGAGAATATTAGGCGTCTAAAATCTGGTTGTAAAACCGTTCGAGATATTGGAGGATTGTTAGATATCATGAAAACTCATGATAAAGAAAAGAGTAACACCTAAATAATAATCATAACGAAGAATGTATTTAGAAACGGCATCGCATGACGGTTTTGAAATAACTCATATATAATCAATTTTCTCGAACAAATATTATTCTATTTGCTTTATATTCAAGAAGAATTTTCTCGCAAGAATCATAATCAACGATAAAAACATTCATGATCGGGAAAAAAATTGCACGCTCATCGATTCCAAATTTAAATTAATTGTTTATTAATTTCTCGAGTTAAATTATTAAATAGAAAATATTTTTTAATATATATGCATTTCAAATATAAATCTTCTGCTTGTAGAAAACAATCTGATATTTGAGAGATGCAAATGCGAAGTCGCAATTTATGAAGTCTTTATTTTGACGGGAAAAATCGGAGCACCACTGTTGAGAGTTACGGACGCTCTAAGGACGGTTGAGAATAGAAAGGAAGAAGAGCAAGCAAAAGAGAAGGAGAGAAATAATGCTAGGTCGTGGAAAGCGAAGGGGAAGGAACGAGGTGAAGCTCGCAATTGTCGTTTCCATAGTGATTTATATCTCGAAAGTCCGAGCATCCAAGGGTGCGTTCTAACAATCAATTCTGTCAATTTCGAATATCTTGTATCTTTGTTCAACATTTGATGAACAACAAGGATAAAATGATACTCAGATTGATAGAAGGTCTGTTTTAGCTAAAGTTCTTGCGTAGTTTATCTTTTTTCCTTTTCTCTCCAGAGAAGAAGTTAGAGAGAAAAAGAGAAAAGATGAGCCGTGCAAGTTTAATTAAAAAGAACAGGTTTAGAGTTAAGTTTTGAAACGCACCCTAGGGAGTATCCCAGAGGCAGTTATGCTCATGATGTAAGAATACAAGGTGTATGTGCTATTGCGTATAACGGCGATAGCAATACTGGAAACAATCAATCAAATTTTGGCCTCAAATTCACTCTCCTACTACACATTTTCGGAACTGATACACTTGGGGTGATTATTCATAGGCCGGTATTCATAGTCAGATCTTATATTCAAGACCGTCTTAAGTACGATCTTAAGAAGTCACGAACCAATCAGAAGGCTGCATTAATGTCTTAAGACATTACTTAAGATGAGCTTGAAATAAGACTATGAATACCATAGTCAGATCTTAGCAAATGAGAAGAGATTAAAACGGATTGACATTTTTTTCTATCCGATGCATATTTTTAAATAGCGAATACTTTTTTTGGATTTAATTGAATTCAATTAGATCAGCAATTGAATTGAAACCTACATTTCCTATTCCTTTTCAATTGAACAGTATTTACAATGTACAGAAAAAGCTAATATTATTTTTAGATTGAAAAGCATAGAGATATGCTCCATGCAATTCTTATAAATGAATAAAAATGCATTCAGGATTGAAAAGCATTCATTTTAACATTCGTGAATCACTATTTCTAAAAATCTGAATCCATTTCAATTCATTTCAATCCATTCTCGTTTGCTGGGATATTCACTGTCTTAAGTACAGTCTTAAGAAGTCATGAATCAGAGAATTGTATTAGTGTCTTAAGGCATTACTTAATCTTGAAATATAAGAATGGACTATGAGTATCGCCCCTTGACTTCTTACATCATGATTATGCCTAGTTCAGATTAGACGCAGCAAGCGTCAAAGCTCACAGCAGAGCAACAGCCAATCATTGAGGCGATATTTACAGTGACGTAAAAAATATCATTTGCTGGTTGCTGAACAGCTAGATGCTTGTTGCGTCCAGTCTGAATTATATAAGACCTCAGCAAACGAGAATGGATTGAAATGAATTGAAATGGATTTTCAGAAATATATTGATTCACGTTGAATGTTAAAATGAATGCTTTTCAATCCTGAATGTATTTTTATTCATTTATAGGAATTGCTCTATGCCTTTCAATCTAAAAATAATATTAGCTTTTCTGTGCACAACACACATTGTGAATACTGTTCAATTCAAAATTTTGAATAGTAGAATAATAGAAATGCAGTTTTCAATCCAATTGCGTCCAGTTGAATCTAATTGAATCCAATTGAATCCAATTAAATTCAAAAAAAGTATTCGCTATTTAAAATACGCATTCGGATAAAAAAAATTTCAATCCATTTTAATCCCGTTTGCTGGGACGTAAATAGTAAGCGAATTGGCCAATCATAGTAAAGACTCTATAGACCAGAGTATCAATCATGAACTTTTTTCCTAGGATGAAAAGTGAAAAATTTTTCCATTAAGTTCAAATTTTCTCTTTTCACTTTCCATCCTAGAGATAAAGTTTTATGATTGATATTCAGTAGCGAAAGATTGTATTCAGTGACTCAACAGTTGAGTGAACACTCGCTGTTATGTATTCTTTCAGATCATCCAATCAGCATTTTAGATTTGGAAGAATACATCAACAGCAGCCAATGATTTCTTTATTGCTTAAACGGAGAGCACAGACTCTTGCATAATGCATAACATATAAGGCATAAGAAATTCAACCAATTAGAGTTCTTTATTTTATGGAAAGGAAGAAAATGAAGGTCTTTGATTGGTTCAGTTTCTTATGCATTACGTGTTATGTATTATGTAAGAGTTTGTGCTTCCGCTTTATGATATATCCACACTAAACTTGTATAGCCACATAAACGTATGCATAAAGAGAATTATCCAATCGCATGTCTCTTATAAAGTCGCATGTAAAATAATTGAATAATTTTCTTTATGCGATATCCTTACTATAGTTCATTTGACGCTACAAATACTACTTTGAAGCATTTTTTGATTGGTTAGTTAATAAAATTCTTTCTTCCGATTGGTTCTCAAAAACTTTGAAACATTTGTAATGCCAACATTTGGACCACACTCTACCTTACATATGCCATGAAAAATAGATGTGAAACCAATCCGGTTTGACCGCAATTTGATAAATTGTTAAGAAGTAATGCACTGTTGAATTAAAAATGTGGAACACAATGTGGAAATGTATTGTGGCATTATCTGCTGAAACTGATTGGAACTTTATAACCAAATCAGGATTACTAATTAAAGGTAACCGTGAATTTTACTTATAGTTTGCGGAAATTCGACATAGATGGCGTTGACAGTGACTTTTAAATATCGGATTGAGAAAAAAGTTTTTTACAAGTTATGATAAAAAGACTTTTTTTAACAACTCCAATATATTCTATTTAAAAAAAATTGACAATTACATCACTTGAGCAACGTTTCAAGCTTAGGCTGATTTATATCCAGGTCCGTCAATGTAAGATTAATTTTAATCTTAGTTTAATTTATTCTTTATCTTTTTCTAATTTTTAGGATTAGAAAGAAAAAGATAAACAGTGAACTAAACTGAGATTAAAGTTAATCTACATTGGAAACGGGCATTAGACTTAGTTAGATCGTCAAGAAACATTTTAATTGTTTGAAAAAGAAACTATACATTAAAATCCTAATAAACGAGAATGGATTAAAATGCATTGGAAATTTTTTTCTATCCGAATGCATATTTTAAATAACGAATACTTTTTTTGGATTTAATTGGATTCAATTGGATTCAATTAGATTCAATTGGATGCAATTGGATGCAACTGGATTGAAAAACTGTATTTCCTATTCAAAATTTTGAATTGAACAATATTTACAATTATGTGCACAGAAAAAACTAATATTATTTTTAGATTGACAGGCATAGAGATATGCTCCATGCAATTTCTATAAATGAATAAAAATGCATTCAGGATTGAAAAGCATAATTCATTTTAACATTCGTGAATCAATATTTCTAAAAATCTGAATCCATTTCAATTTATTTCAATCTTTCATTTTTTCTCTTTTGCTGGGTCATTTTAGCATTTAACAAAACAGAAACATTATTATTAAATTAATCGTCAATCACGCAATTAAGATAATCGCCGGACTTCAATTGAAGTCACTCTTAAATTAAGGCATTATGAAAAATATATGAGTTAAATTCTTATCATATCTATAATGTACGTGTATATGCATTGCAATAGCAATATTATAATAGATTTCCTTTTTACAAGTTTCTGTCATACATATTATTACTATCATAAACAAGAATGCAGTATATACTAACTGAAAGAATTGCAAAATATTTTTACTTTAACAAAATATTTTATTAATTCTATTTTTTCTTATAAAATCTATGTCATATATCTTGCGCAGCATAAATTTTAATTAACATTAATTATGTCAATATATTATGGCTGCTTTTCTTTTAGGAGACACAGTCGATATAAATATATCGTTCTATCTTTGTTATTCATTGAATGTCAAGAAGAATAAAACTTTGTGTCGATTGTGTCTCCTAAAAGAAAAGCAGCCATAATAATAAGTTCTCATTTAATAATATTAGATAATATAATACAAGTATATGACAGTTATTTTGTTGAATAGGAAAGTAACATCCCAGCAAACGAGAATGGATTAAAATAGATTGAAATTTTTCTATCCGAGTGCGTATTTTAAATAGCCAATACTTTTTTTTTATTTAATTGGATTCAATTAGATTTAATTGGATGCAATTGAATTGAAAAACTGGATTTGCTATTCAAAATTTTGAATTGAACAATATTCACAATGCACAGAAAAAGCTAACATTATTTTTAGATTGAAAGGCATAGAGATATGTTCCATGCAATTCCTACAAATGAATAAAAATGCATTTAGGATTGAAAAGCATTGATTTTAACATTCGTGAATCAATATATTTCTGAAAATCTGAATCCATTTCAATTCATTTCAATCCATTCTCGTTTGCTGAGATTGTATGTGTACATAATATATTATATCATTTATTTATATTTTGCGGAGTGTTTCCCAATCTTCTCGATAGATTCCCGTTCGCCGTTTCAGAAGGATTTGCCATTCAACGGATGTAGTAAATAAAACGGATACAGTAAGGACACAGCAGCTATTCTAGGACGGAAATACATATATACGTTTAATATATAGCTACAAAGTTCGTCGCTCTCCACGATGTATTTGCGATGTTCTCTAAAATTGTCCACATAGAAGCTTAAATCGTCCCAGACAATCTCAGACTCGCGAGTCCTTTTAATTTGTTTTTGCGTCTCCACGTTGCGAAAACAAGCTAGAAGGAAAAACGCGAAGAGAAAAAA